AGTCCAGACCTGATCCTGTGAGCAGAATGTATCCCAGCTTTGGTAGAGCCAGAAGCCTTTATCCTTCAAGGCTGCAGAAAAAGCCTCAAAGTAATTATATCCCTCACAGTTTGTCTCCATCGAGAGGGGGATCCATAGCAGCTGAGTGTGCTGGAGGTCTCCAGCCAGATTCAGCAGGTAGTTCATCATTTAGTCCCAACGGGGGGGGACTAAAGACCCTAAGATGTAAATGGAGCTGGAAGATTAAATGAAACCGATGAACAATTACAGTCCGGAGCTGCCCAACAAATGGACGGCTCCAAAAGCGATGGATGACCGGCTCTCAGGGCCGAGCGGGCAGAGTTGTCTTTATCCGGTCATCACATGCCCTTTATTTCCCGGTAGCTAATGGATGATTATGTAAAACATCTCCTACATCAGGTCAACCAACCTGTACGGCCCCAATAAATGCTCTCTATTTGTTTTGTTTTTTTCTTTTTGGAGCCAGAAGAGACTAATCTAATCCCAATATTGACATAAATGGACACAAATAGCACAGTTTTAATATGTTTTGGGTTTTGGAATTATCAGATATACTAACACTTTGACCAAAACGGAATCCTGACATGGGATCCCGAATCCTGGATCTCGGATAAAGTTTGCAACTCCATTTATATTTACAATGTTATCGGTGCAGGTTTTGAGCGAAGGCACCTTTTAATTATTAATAAATAAAAAATTCATTAATTATTTATGAATAATATCCCTCTGGGATTATTAAAGTATTTCTGATTTGGAGTAGTGGATCGTGTTCGGTGCCACCAGCACGAATTACATGTTACTTTTCAAAGAGTCCACATTTTGTACAGGACCAGGCTGTAATCCTCCTCTCTTTGCTTATCCTCCGGTTCATTTCACCGACACACTCAGGTGTCACAAATCCTTGCACCTGGACGAGTAAGCGGCGGGCTTCCTTTGCCACGCTCCGGTTCATTCCGCCGGTTCACACACAAACCGCACTCTTCTTTTCCCCCCCCAAAAAAAAAAAACCCCGCGCTCTGCACCGCGAAGCAGCGAGGCCTCATCAAGGTTGCCTTTCTCTCTCTCGGCGAGGAGCTTTTTGTTTACAATAATTACCCCTAATTCATCGGAACGTTGGTGGCGATGTTTTAATTGTGTTTAGAATACGGAATGGCCCACTCGGAGCATTGGATGTCACCCCCTTTAAAAGCCCAACTGTTGCTCCTGCACACAAACCTCTGACACGCGCTTTATTTCCGTCCCGACACCAGGCGGGCGTAAAGATCCCGGGCGGGAGGATGAAAGGGAGAAAAACGCTCGCGGAGAAAAGGCGAAGGGGGCAGGAAGTACTGGCAGAGCTCCTGTGTGGAAACCAGCGGATTTTTTTTTCCTTTGATGTGGCAGATCCATAGCAGACTCTCTAAGAAAGCAGGAGGCAGACATGTTGGATATATACCTGCTGTCTTAAGGCCTTTTTTGGTAGCATGAAAGACGCGCGCATTGTGAGGTAGAATAAGAGGGGAGGGGGGCACCGACCGGGTTAAAGTGATGCCTCACAGAAAACAGAGCTCTGTAAGCAATATTACCACACTCACTAACAGGCCTATTTGCAAAGCTAAAGGAAAAAATGGGGTTAATGTAATCCAGGGACTTTCCTAAAGCAATCTGATGGTAAAATAAGTTCCTATGAGGCTCTTAGAGCCCTCAATTAGAACGTATGCATGAGCTCCAGTCTCAAATAAACCTGCCATCATCCCTTTTTTTTTCTTTTTAACGTGTGAAAATGAAATTAAAACAGGGTAATCATTTTAGGATCTAATCTCAGCCAAACCCTAGCTTTTGTATCCATTTTGAATAGATTTTTTTTAGCTCCAGCATCACTGAACATTTGGGGGCAGGTATGTTTACTTTGCTGTACCACTGATGCTAACCAGCATTTTTATTTTCATTTCTTTGGGTTTTTTTTTACTCAGACGTGAGGTTCTTTTGCCTTTTCGTGGCTTAAGGTCTGCTCGCTTTCTGTGGAAAGACTTCCACTGCCGATTCCTGATTGATGGTCTTTGTTTGGATAGGTTTAGAGAGATCGGAGTGGCATGGATATCGCTTCACTAAAGCTAGCTGGATTTTGATAATGCCGAGGACAATTAGCATTAGGGAGCTTTGATGCTTCCTTCATTGGTCTTTAAAGATTCCAAAATGCAGGAGGATCTTCTCTGACATGGAGGGTTCCTCCCGCAACTCACTGCAGCCGCATCAATCACGTTCATTACCTTTTTTAATTAACAGCCTCGGTGATGAGATAATATTCTATATCTCGCTATATTAGCGTGCCATTTAATTTTGCTCCAGCAAGGCAGAACAATGAGAGTGTTGGAGTGTGTTAGTGTTTTCAAACGGTCGCAGACACACACGGCAGCAGACTCATCAGATACTCATTCCAGCATTGTCGTCTCCTCCTAAGTCATTAAAAGTTCCTCCCTCTTGTCCAAGAGATCAATTACAGATTTATTTATTTTTTTTGGGTGGGGAAGAGTTTTGTTGTTGTTGTTTTTTCTGTCGATGAGTCTTCTGATGAGAACGGATCTTTTTTTAGCTAACAGGATCTGGTTGTATTATCCCCCAGTGTGTGTGTGTTTGTGTGTGTGTGTGTGTGAGACATCCTAACACCTCTAAATGCAGACTGTTAATTAGCATGGTGAAGAAAGCGTCGATTTGTGACTATTTGAGGAAACACGGTGGCATGTTTTGTCATGAGTCTGGGTAAGAACCCTCATAAGTTTGTAACCACTGCTTAGCTTTATAGAAAATAGGACATTTGTACTTTAGGCTCTCTGAGCTCGGTTAATTTCAGTCCTCCAAAACGCGAATAGTGCTAAAACTTCAAAACACCAGGCATCGTTTCTTCTATTTAAAGGGAGATTTTGTGTTTTAAAGCTATGACTTTGAGCGTTTGTGAACCTTAACATCTGAGCTTTGCATGGATAATGGATGAGAAGTAAAGCAGAGATATGATTCCATCAGAAACTCAGTCTCAGGATCATTCAACATGTCTTCTGTAGCTTTCTAAATAGTTACCACACAAACAAGTACACTCCTGTGGCAGAGGCTAGCTACTAGTCGTGATCGGGAGACTTTTAACGTCAGTTTTTTTCCAGAAGATGATGCCCAACTTGTCTTTTCCACGGTGCCCATCGTCTCCGTTCAGAACAGTTTCCCATGGCAACAAGATCAGGCCACCTGCGCGTCCTCTCTCAGGGTTCAGAAGATCCTACGGACGACAGGATCCTCAGAAGGGCCTTTCTGGGGAAAAAACGCTGATTTCAAACCGATCGCACAGTTTCATCTCGAGGACTCTGGGACTTAAGTTGTGGATCATCGGTTTAGTAGCCACAGCTCATACAGCGGTAGATTTTTCAGAGCCATAAAGGCTCCCTTTATGGGATGTGCTTTTAAAAGTCTGCAGCCATTAAACTACTTGACTCTTGATATCTATGGATTGGTCGTTTAGGAGAGCAGGTGGGCGGAGAGATAAGTCCCGTCACACTAATAAATCCCTTAACAATGAAGTGAATTCAATGTGCAGCCAGCAGAAAACACACGGGACGTGCCGGCCAATTGACCACCTGTCATGATTATCTGAAACCAGCAAAGAAAAAAAAGAGGGAAAAAACGGTGACTAGCCAGGAAAAACGCCCCACCGCGAAAGCGATCGTAAATGAACACGATGTGACTTTAAGTGCCCCGATCTGTGGGCTGGGAGGCAGAGATAATGGGAAGCGGTTTTTATGACGCGGCCTTCTGCATTTAAAGGACAAAAACGAGGCGGAGGGAATCACCGGAGAGCGTTTGTTTGTGCGGAGAGATGTTTTAACAGCCGGCGCGATGTCGCCCAACACTAGAAGCTTGTTTTACGGCCACGGGCCATCGCCATAATTAAACACTCCCCATCCCAAACTAATGGAAGGAAAAACTCTGTATGTCAGACAACTAATTGCTCCACTCAGTCTTTCCTTTTCCCCACATAAACACACACTTCTTTTGTCTTTTCTAATCTAATACAGCTCAGCAGCTCTCACTTGGAGTTCGTTACCTTCACCTTTCCCTCCTCCTCCTCCTCCTCTTTTTTTTTTTCTCCAGTAAAGGATGTTCTGGATTTAATGAGAAACTCCTCATTATTGCCCCTCGTTTGTCTTTGCGCTCAGAGTTCAGTCTTTCTCCGGGAGTCTCTGTTTGGAGGGCGAGGAGTGCTTTGCAGCGAAGTTTGAGCTTGGAAAGTTTATATTTCCAGGTTGTTTGACAGAGAAAGTTTCCCCTGAAAAATTATTTCTATGGTAGATTATTTTAGAAATAACTTTTTCATTATCAGTCTGTACATTTGTGAGTCACGAACAATGGGAATATGATATGATAAATATGACTGTGTTTTTTTCTTTTTTTTTTCTTTGGATTAAGACCAACTGAAATACTAATGAACAAAATAAGAAAATAAACTGCATTTCCGGATGTCTGCTGTTTTTTCTTTTTTTTGTATCCCTTTTATTTAAAGGGAGACTAAATTTAATTTAGAATAACAAGTGAAAATATTAGAAACTTGTGTTTTAACAGTCAATTGCTTTCAGAAATGTAAAATTTTGTTACTTTCAAAACAGAAGTACAACCCAAAGTGCTTCACAAATGAGGGGAAAAACTTAAAAATACAAGCAGAGGAACAAAATGGAGCATATTTAAAACAAGTAGCAGCCAAAAAAAATGAGGTATGAGGTAAAAGCTCTTTAAAGAGATCAAAACGGGTTTGAATCAATCATGACATCATCAATTCAATAATGATATTTAATGCTTTTGACATAATAATTACCCTCTAAGAGGTTTTTAATTCACAGAAATACTTTCAACTCATATGATTTGATTTAAAATGGTCGGGACAGACACTTTTCTAGGGTCTTCTTGCAGGATGATGTTACTAAAACCAAGCATCTTTGTTCTGTGTTCTGTGTGCAGATATGATGGAGTGGACGAGGGCGTGGCCGCTCGCTCTGCTGGCCGTGGCGTCCCTTTGCCTGGGCCCCGCCGGGGGCCGGAGCCCCGTCTTCTGCTCCAAGACCCTGATCAACAACGTGGTGGCCGACCCGCGCACGGGGCGCCTGTACGCGGGCGCCGTCAACGCGCTCTACCAGCTGAGCCCTGACCTCCGGGTGGAGTCCCAGACGGAGACGGGCCCCCGCCGCGACAACCGGCAGTGCACGCCGCCCGTCACCGACTCCTGCGAGGAGGCGGAGAGCACCGACAACCACAACAAGCTGCTGCTGGTGCACGCCGCCAACGGGAGCCTGGTGGCGTGCGGCAGCATCTTCCGGGGCATCTGCTCGCTCAGGAACCTCAGCGACGTGGACCACCTGCTCTACTTCCGCGACACCAACGGGGAGAAGTCCTACGTGGCCAGCGCCGAGGAGGGCGTGTCGGTGGTGGGGGTGATGTCGTACTACAGCACGGGAAAGGAGAACCTCCCGGTGTTCCTGGTGAGGAGGAAAACGCACACCCTCACACACTCACGCACACTCTCAAACACATATCAGACGGCTTTGCCGGACTTCCTGTGGTAAGTTTTTAAAAAATCTGCCAATATCCACCATCTGGGACTCAACAATGAAGCTGCAGTTTATGGAGAACAGTACATTCAGTTGGTAGCTGTACAAAATAAACACACACACACACACACACAAACAAAAAAGATGAGCACTGTCATTTTCAATTCAGTTTCTTCTGGAAAATCGGTCTTTGATCGGTCTTTGATCGGTCTTTAATCGGTCTTTATTCGGTCTTTATTCGGTCTTTAATCGGTCTTTAGTCGGTCTTTATTCAGTCTTTCCTCTTAATTCCTACCATGAGCATGCCTATCCCTGACTCTCTGACAGCTCTTTTGGTCAGAGGTAGTGGACGCAGAGAGAGAAGAACCAGAAGAAACCAACGTTTAAGCCTCGGTGGTAGATTCTGAATGCTAGTGCGCAGAGCAGAACGACCAGACTCCTGAACAGTTTCTTTCCCCTGGCCACCAGACTGCTTAACGCCACATAACACTCCTCCTTCCCCACACACACACACAAAAACACACTAAAACCTCCCCCCATGGACATGGACAATACACGCACCTTAGCTTAGCTTTGTCTTCAACTCAATTGTTTCTTTTTGCAATCAACTCAGTGCAATATTCATTGATGTTTCTTTTGTAATAACTCAATAATATGTATATATATGCTCTTATCCCTTATATATCTAGATCTTAGAGATAGAAAACATATTTATTCAGAAGAAATAAGGTCTTAGCTCTGCCACACTGGTAGCCAAGTAATCGACATTTCCTTGTCAAGATTCACCTTGTGTTTTTTGTACGATGACAATAAAGGAAGTCAAAGTCTAAGTCTAGAGGTTCGTAGGAATTCACCCCTGGCTTCCTTCCCCCTGACAGGTCGGCAAAGGCTACGGCAGCCACGACAGCACCAAGCTGATCTCCACCCGCATCCTGGAGGAGACGGGCGACTGGGTGGCCTTCGACAGCATCATCGAGGCCTCGGCCGTGCAGGCCAACCCCTTCGTGCTGCGCTACCTGCACGACTTCCGCTTCGCCTTCAAGCACGGGGGCTTCGTCTACTTCCTGTTCTCGCGCACGCTCGGGATGCAGGACACCAAGAACTTCACCTTCATCGCCCGCATGTGCGAGGACGACAAGAGCTACTACTCCTACACCGAGCTGCAGCTCAACTGCAGCGCCAACAACAAGTTCAACAAGGCTCAGGTCAGCCGCCTCGGGCCGGACTCTGGGCTGGGTCGATGTGTTAACGTGTGGGATTTATTGATCTGGCATAGAGACCTTGATTGTGATATAGACAGGGACACTTGGGAACAAATATTGAGCGATAATGGTAAATATACCAAAGAAGTAAGGTGTAAATTTATTCAATATAAGATTCTACATAGGTTCTACTGGACCCCATACAGACTTTTTCGAATAGGTTAAATACATTTTCTACTTTTCTACATCTTATATGAGAGTGTGCCTTGGTTAAACCATTCTGGGACAAAATACTGAAATTCCTAGAGACATGGATAGACGTGGATAGACGTGGATAGACGTGGATAGACGTGGATAG